AAGGTCTTTGTTCTGGGATTCACTCTTAAATTATTTGAACTAAATGATGGTTAGTCATTGTGGGCATATATGAGAAATAGGAACCGACCTAACCATCTAAACTTACAATCTGTTGGTATCTTAAATCTGTTTTAAGTTTACTGTTAGTGTCCACTTTGAAGACCAAGCTATGCATTAGAGGCTCTTTTCTTATCTATAAAACAAAATCATTATTATTATAAGGCATTTCCACTTCCACATGACTATGTATGTATTCGGGGAAATATATATATATATATGTATGTATATATATGTATATATCAGTGGAAGCATAAATTGAAGAACAATCCTTACCATGTCTGAACTAGATGACAGAGTTGTTGAGAGTTTTTCTTCGACAATTCCACTTGTTGATGCAATGGTATCCTATGCAACTCATAAAATATGAATGGGTTACTAAAAATGTTAAAATAATTAAGAAGCATATGGTATATTAATTTAAAGAGAACTATTTATTGATTCGAGTCCTTGTTATAGAATAACATAATGTACATACCTTTGTCAAATTTGGCAAATTACTTTCTGTTTTGTGTGTTGTTGAGTCTTTTATAGCAATCTCCTTTGATACTTCCTCACTCTAAACATCAACAATATAAAAAGAAGATAAGCTGAGTTTTTATGGTGTTAATAACCATAATAAATCGAATTAGCACACAAAATATTAAAAAAAATTGATTTATTTGGAACAAATGAATAAAACAGTGAGGTAAGAGAGAAATTAATTGTTGATTTCTTAAGTGTGGTTATTTATAGCAAAAGTATGATATGCATACATTTTCAAAATTCGGTGAGCCGTTATTCTGTTGGGGCATTGTGGAGTTTTTTTTTATGTCTTCTTGTGATGATCCCTCTTTTCTGATCTGAAAATAAAAGAAGATATATTAGTTTACTATCAAAATCAATTTTGATTCCTAAAGGGTACATAAGAGGCTCTTGCAAACTCCTATATAAACTAAAAACAATATTATTACTATTAAACCCTTTCCACTTCTGCATGCTGCATAATTGAGAATTGTTAATGAAAATACAAGTGAAAATATTAGTTGAGAAATGAGTTGTTAAGAAGTTTATGACATTGTTTTATTATAGCATTTTGTGGGTCATTAGAATGTATAGCAGGTCATGTTTGAAGTAGATGATGGGGTTGTAGAGAGTTTTTCTTCAACAATTCCACTTGTTCACGCATTGGGATTCTGTGTAACTCATAAAATCTGAATAGGTTACTAATGAAGTAAAAATAATTAAGAAGCATATGATATGTTAATTAAAAGAGAATGTTTGTTGGTCTGAGTCATTGTTATTATAGAATAGCATAATGTACATACCTCTGTCAAATTTGGCAAATTACTTTTTGTGAAGTCTTTTTTAAGGAATTTCCTTGGACACTTTATCACTCTAAATACCAACAAAAAGATATAAAAAGAAGATAAATTGAGTTTTGATGGTGCTAATAACCATAATAAATCTAAATTCGCGCACAAAAGTTTTTTAAAAAAAATTGATTTATTTGGAACAAATGAATAAAACAACGAGGTGAGAGGGAAATCGTTAGTTAATTTCTTAACTTTGCTTAGTTATAGACAAGTATAAAATACTTACATTTTCAGAATTTGATGAATCATTATTCTGTTGGGGCATTGTTGTTGAGTTTTCTCCAATATCTTCTTGTGATGATCGCTTTCCTTTAATCTGAAAAAGAATAGAAAATATATATTACTTCCTCTGATCTTTAAAATAAAAGTTAGTTGGAGATTAGATTTGGTCTTAGATACAAGACCAATTCATCTTATCTCTCAAATTTATAATGCCTTCTTTAAAATATCCATGTTAATTGTAAGAGTTCCCAGCACCAAGAAATAACTTCAATGCCCATGACTAAAGATAGTAGTTTAGGGAAGCCCAATACATATTTGTTACAATTAATCAACTTAATTATTTTTTTTAACTTTGATTCCTAAAGGTGCATCATAGGCTCCTGCAAACTCTTATATAAGTTAAAAACAAAATCATTACTATTAAACCCTTTCCACTTCTGCATTGCTACGTAACTGAGAATCGCTAAATGAAAATAGAAATGAAATTATTTTGTTGAGAAATGAGTTGTTAAGAAGTTTACTTCGTTAACAAGCATATCAAACATACATTAAGAGAGAGACCATTTGCTAGTTCATGGTAATGTTGTTTTACTTTAATGAAGTTGTTGAGAATAACACAAACATTTGGTCCAAAATGGTTGAGCAGGCAATATCAAAAGCTTAAATCCTCAGAACATACAAGAAGGCCTTTGATATTTTCTTTAGCCGCTGATATGATTGCTTGAAATAGTAAGTAAGCTAATCATTTGCAATAATTGTTATTAGTTATTATCCTTTTTCCCTATTTTCTCATCAGATGCATAATGCTTGTACCTTTGAGAAATATGAAAAAATATGGGATGCCTCTACATTCTAAACAAACATAAGACGTATAAGAAATGATGAAATGAGTTGGAGTCTGTAATAATTAAACTTTACAAATCAAACTAAAATTTGGAACAAAGGAATAAGAAAATATGTAAGAATGTGTTGGCTTGGTAACACACAATCTTGTTCTGTTATGGTATTTACTATCGTCAGGTCTCTCTTCAGAGAATATCAAACAAAATAGTGAGTTGAAGTCATTATTAATAAAATGAATAGTGAATATACATATCCTTATAATTTCAACTAATTTTTAATTAGGTTCTCATAATTTTTTTCTTGTTATCAAGTCCTTATACTTTCACTTGTTTTTATTTAGGCTCTTTTAATCTTTTTTTGGCACCTTTTGTGAATTTCTTATAGTTTCATTTAATATTCAATCATGCCCCTGAAATTTTTTATTCTTTATCATATAAGTTCTAATAATATTCTTTGGCAATAATTTTATTTTATTGTTCTTTTAAACTTTTGTATTAAACAAATATCCATATTCATTTTATAATAATATATTTTATTTATTATTATAACCATAAAATTCGAATTATAATAATAAAATTTTCTAAAATCGTAATATAATTGAAACTAATTTATAATTTATTATTAGAATAAGTTAATAATTATTAATTATTTAATTATTTTCATAATTAAATAAAAATTAATTTAAACTTATTATTAATAAATTATAATTTAATATTATTTATTTAATTAATTTAAGCTAAATTAATAAATCAAATTAAAAAAGTACAAGGACCTCATAAAATCATGTGAAATTATAAACACCCTATAAAAAGAGAAAAAAACTACATGAACCTAAATAAAATCAAGTAAAAATATAATGACCTGATCGGAAATTGTTTGAAATTATAAGGACATGCAAGTTAACTATTCATTAACAAAATTGTAATCTTCACCCACAAAACAGGAAAAAGCGGTGGATGTTGTATGGAATTTCGGCCAAAATCAATAACGAGCGAAATTTTTATTCATGCAATGGTCAATTTCTGCCAAAATTTGTAGTTATTATTGTTAACCCTTTCTCTATAATTTCTCAACAAAAGCATAATGCATGTACCTTGGATAGCCCGTGACGCATGATTTCCCAATCATCCTGAACAATCACAAAACATATAAGAAAAGATGAAATGAGTTGAACTCTGATCATTAAACTTTATGAATTAAATCAAGCTAAAATTTGGAATAAAGGAAGAATAATATGTAAGAGAGGATGCGTTGGCTTAGTAGCACACACGCTTGTTCTGTTACTGACTAATGCTAGGTCTCTCTCCAGAGTTGGCTCTAATTCCTCAGAACAAGGTATAAAGAAATAGTGAGTTGAAATCATTAATAAAGATTGTAATCTTAGCCCGCTAAATAGGAAAAATTGGTGGATGTATGAAATTTCTGCTAAAATATTAGTAGCAGGGGAAATTTTTATTCATGTATTGGTCAATTTGATTTTTAGTTAATCTTGGCGTAAAAATTATCATTTCTCATCTCTCTATTTTTTTCCATCTCTCTAAGCTGATTAAGCCATTTTATTAAGTTTGATACTAACCTCCCCACGCCAGGAAGTAATATCTCTTGCGTAGCCATAGTCATCTTCTTCAAACAGTGTATGTAGTTGAAATAGTGTACTTATATACCCTGCCAAAATAAAAGAATTACATTATTATGAGAACAAATTGTAGCAGTTAGTAGTTGTAGTGAATTACCTACTATAGGTAATAATTCGGGTCTACGAACAGTTGAAGTTAAAGAAATAGCAGGACATCGAAACACATGACGGATTTTCACAGTCTGAAAATCAATCCCTTGACAGATAGCATGAAGATTTGGCAGTTTTACTAGTCTTATTGCACCTAGTTTAGGAAGCACATTCTCCAAGACCAGCTTCTTTCCCTCTCCCTGCTTCCATCCAAATACTTGCCCAAGCTGGGGGACATCTTCTATATTCACATACAAGAGTCGCGGAAGCTTACCACTTGATTCAGAAAAAAGGCATTTCAAACTTTTGCAATGCTTCACTGTTATTCCCCGAAGCTCTGGGAAACATACTTGATGCGGAGTCATAGGATTTTTGTGATTCTCTTCATCCTCCATAATGCTCACTAGCTCTTCGCACTCTGATACCCATAACCTTTTCAGTTTTTGCAGCCATCTTAAGGTAGATGCGCAGAAGATAAGTTTCAAATGCTTGCATCCCTGGATATTTAGCTCGGAAAGATTTTGAAAGCTCCTGTAAATAATAGGTTCCACACCGATATCCTCCAACTTGGGCAATTCTTGCGTGTTGGAAAGTGGTTTGCCTTTCTTCTCAAGAGTTAATGCCTGTGGGTATCATTAAGATATATTAGTATTAAAATGATTTTCTCAGTTGATCAATCATAAATTAACTGGAAAAAGAAGTCGGAAGGAGGTTTACCTTTCTCCTTGACTGATCTTCTTGCCTTTTATGCCCATCAACCAATAAGTCCATCAAAGTTTTCAAAGCAGGGCATTCATTCAACCTAATATCTTCTAGATATAGTTCCTTCACAGAATAGTTTTTAGCACAAATGCCAACCATATTTGGTAAATCACCAAGGTATAGCCTTTTCAGAGCTGGAAGACTAATATCAACCTGAACATTCAGATTCTCATCGGCACGGCATTTTCCAAAGACATGTGTCAACATTCCAGCCTCGGCGATCTCCACAGATTCTAAATGCTTAAAGTCTTTTGAATAAAAAGCTGGGAAAATGTACTCCAAGTGGCTACAGCCATAGAATCCAACCTCCCGTAAGTTTGGGAAAATAGAGTTAACATTCCCACGATCATGACCATGCTCCTCATCTGTTACTATGTGCTCCAGTGCATCGCAATTTCCAACTTCCAACCATTCCAGCAATTTCAATGATGAGACAATGGATGGCGTAAAGAGTGACTTTAACTCAGAAAATCCAAATATCCGTATCCTTCTCAAACTTCTACATGGGTATAATGGTGGCGTGAAAAGACCATGAGCTCTGTTGACAACATAATTCACTTTTAATGCCTGCATTCCATACAAACATGTGAGGATTCTTCGTCTTTCATAAATTGAAAAAGAATGCTGCAATTTATGATACAGGTTTAAGGTTCAAACTTTTCTAATATTACAAGAAAGATATACTATATATAAACAAATTGAGGAAAATTAAAGAGACAACCTACAAAAAATAATATTTATTGAAGAGATATTAAAATTTGTAATTATTTATAAGGATCAAATGTAAAACTGTAATTTCAAAAATAATAAACTATTCCTAACTAAATTCTTAAATTTTCTCTAACCACATCTCACATACGCTCCCTCCATGTTTTAGGAGTCAACTCCTATAATACATAACAACAAATTTCATATTTTAACAATATTGGATTAAAAGTAAAATTGTATCACTTTCAACCTAAATCAACGAATCAGAAGAAAAAATGAGCTCCATAAATTGGTTTCATATGATTTTTGAGGGAGACATATGGTGGCATAAAAATAATGTAGAACTCAAATTGATCAAATATTACTCATAAAGTTTTTCATAGCTATAATTTTTATCTGCATACTATTTCTTATTTGTTATCAATTTTCATAATCTTTTTGTTTTTTTTCCTCGATCTTGATATGTTTGTATTAAAGTAAATGGTAATAAAAAAAATTAAACATGAAAAAAATTCTAAAAAATATCTCTAAAATTTGAAAATCTCAAATCAGAAATGACTACAAAAATATGTTGTCATTTACTTCTCAAATGTTATCAATTGCTATTAAAGTGTAGCAAACATGAACGATTCAGAATTTTAAAATTCAAAGGTAATTTTTTGGGATTCTCCTTTTTAAAATCAAGGGAATGGAAAATTTTAGATAAAAATAAATATTAATAATGTTATTTAATTAATTATTTTATATTTTCAAAAATTGAAATTGGTAAAAATATTTATAAAAGTTCTAATTCTATTTATTGAAATTAATTAAAATATATCTATTTAAATTTAAACATATATAAAAAAAATTTGGTAAAACGATTTAGGGACTTAGGGATAATTTATTATATTTTAAATTTATATTTTAGTATTTGCTTCTTATAATCATATCTTTTTTAGTAAATATTACTTTTTCTGGGTCCTTCCCCCTAATTTTCCCAACAAAATTAAGTTCTTCTACAATCAGTAATTTATAAACAAATTTTTGGATGGGTAGTGTACAGATGAAGACACAAAGCAATGTAAATATAATACGCAAAAAAAAAAAAACATGCAAGTAATTTGCAGCATATATTTGAGCGAATTATTTGGTTTTTGCCAACAGTGCCTAATGTCTCAATTAGATGGAAAAAAAATAGAAATGCAAAATTAATTTTGTTACTTAAGACAAATTGATATTCTCATCATATATACAAGAAGAAGTTTAGCAAAGCATATATTCGGGTGATTCATACATTATTACAAATAAAGATTTAAAACAAAATAGAGTAAGAGATATTACCTGATTATGGTTCGATTGAGTGTTCATGGAAGTAGAAGGGTAACATAGACGACCCCTTGATAGATTGATTAATAATGCTTTTGGCCAAAAACAACATAGACGACCCCTTGATAGATTGTTACTGGCATCTACTTTTGCACTTGGAGATGACTTTTGAACTTCATCAAAACAAGGCCGTGGGAGATAACATTCTGCATATATATTGATGAAATTCGGTACCCCATCAATTTCCAATACTTCTAGTAACTGGAGGATGGCTCCTTTCCCCATTTGGTGCAAATCTCTGTGGTCCGGATATTGCCCAAATACATATTTTAGTTTCTCACAGCCTCCAATCTTCATACTTTTTAGCAGTGGAAGGTCTTCGCAAAAGCATATTGGCAATATAAATTCTAATTCAGCACAGCAGTTGATCCTGAGATATTTCAATTTTGGCAACATTGAGTCATGACTCTTTTGATTAGGATCCTGATCATCCATAGTCTCTGCTACTATGTATTTCAACTTCAAACATTCTCCAATTTCCAATGTTTCTAACTGCATTAACCTCTGTGCTGTGGATGCATGAAAAAGGCATGTCATTGAACATTTAGATAAATGCATGGACTTAAGATTACACAGCTCTAACTTGCCATCAAATAACATGCCTTCCAATTTTTCACATCTAGATAAATGCAGCTCCTTTAGTTGCTTCAAAAAGTCAACAGGATAAGGCCCATGGCATAGTTCTCTCACATCCATAGAATGAAGAGTCAATTCAACCAACTTAGAGAAGATAGCCACACCAGGTCGGAGATTCTCAATATGGATTAGGCACTTTATCTCATTCATAGAATCCAAAGAGAGCCTAGTTAATTGATCTTTCATGTTGTCATATTTCACAGATAATATGTCAGGAACAATATTTGTCCATCCTCTGTTGTGGTAATCTCGTCCTAACATCAAAACTTCTGCTCTTGCCACAAGGAGTTTAAATATTTCATTGGAGAAGTATACTCTTAAGTTCCGTGAATCAAAATATCTAGATATTGAAGAATCCTCTTCATAGTTACGTACATAATCTTGACCCCCTATGTAATACCTTTGCAACATAGGAAGTGTTGTGATTTGCCCGCGACAATCATCCACATTATTTGAAGCATAATACAACTCCTCTAATTGAAAGCAACTTCCAATCACTTCAAAAGGATTATTTCTTCCAGTAAGAGAACATTTTACCATCTCCAACAATCTCAATTTTTGACTTTCTTTAATTTCTTTGGGCAATTCAATAATTGAACAATTGTTCAATTCAAGGCTCTCAAGGTTTTTAAGATTTGCCAAAATAGATATATCTCCTAATGATTTAAAATTCTTTATGGTCAAAGTTCGAACATTTGTCAATGAAAAAGGTGATTGAAATAAGGAAGCAGTTGAAATTTCCAAATCTGACGAACTCATTAAAGCCAAAATTTTAAGGTTCTCCATCCCTTCAAAGGGAGCATTGGGAACTTTGACCCTACGAGAATTTGCATCATTTATCCAAAGTAAAAGAACCTCAAGTTGTTTGCCATCAAAATGATTCGGAAAGTCAACTATGTTCCAAGATGAATATTGGATGTTTTCCATTATAGTTGAGTTAGAATTCATGCCTGCTTGAACCTGTTTGTTTCCAATCCATAAAGCCACTTCCCGAACCAAGTCGTGCATTTTGAGACTTTCATTCTTAGCCTTTAATAACAAACAAGAATCTATGAGCTCATTTTTAATTGGAGTAAAATGACTTCTTGCAACAGAGTATTTGTTAGCTTCTCCACAAAGGCCAACACCTATAGCAATCCTGGTTAAAAGTTCTATAGGTATTTCATAATCTTCTGGGAAGAGAGAGCACAAGAGGAAGAGTTTTTGAGCCTTTTCGTTCTTGAGATTATCATAGCTTAATCTCAAAGAGTTATAAGCCTGTTTTAAATCTTGTTTAACATCACGAATTTGCTCATGATTCTGCAATCTTTTCAAACTATCCTGCCATTCTGATAGAGGCCTAGACTTTAGTGCACTTGCCACTGCTACAATTGCAACTGGTAAACTTCCACACTCCTTCACAATACCTCTAGCCGCATCCTTAGATCCATTGGAAGCACCATCTATGCTCATGCCAGCATAAGATAGGAAAAGATTAACTGCATCCTCTTCATTTAAGACCTTAAGTTCAATAATCTCATGGCAACCCATATCTCTACAAACACTCCAATCACGTGTGGTTAGCAAAACAGCACAATGACCCTTGCCATGGCGGCCCAGAGGAATCCCTATATCTTGCGGTGTAAGCTTTTCCCACATGTCATCTAGTATTATAAGTACCTTTTCTCCACCTTCTGCTATTCTTTTCCACAATTCTTGTGCTTGCTCAGATTCATCCATTCCCTCTAAAGGAAAATCTAAGTGTTTTGCAATGTTTCCCCGAATCTTTTTCAAGCTTACATCCATTGAGACAACACTGAATATGACTTTATCAAACAACTTTGAGTCGGCAACATCTTTACCTACTTCTATTGCCATCGTGGTTTTCCCTGTTCCACCTAGCCCATACAATCCAATCATAAACTTGTTGTCATCTTTCAATGCCTCCTTCAGCTTCTCAGAGATCGACTTTCTATCCTCAAAAGTCATAAAATTTGGAGAAGAATAGAACTCCATGCCTGGAAGCCCAGTTGAACGAGCAACACGAGCGAAGTTACTCTGTTCCAACAGTAGCTGTTTAATCCTTTGCGTCTTCCCTTCCAGCTCCTTCCCTCGCTTGTACTGCCAAAGGCAATTAGTGACCAAACCAAACCATTTCTTCTTTCCTTTTGTGTCTTCTCCTATGAGACCATTGGCTCTTTCTAACCACAGTGCGACTTCATCTTCAACCTGATTCTCATTTCGGTGCTTGGCAACTTCAATATCTTTAAGCACTGTGTTTCTTCTTGCACTCAAACTTGTCTTCTCCTCTTCGAAGTCGTCAACGTAGGTCTTGTAACAACACAAGTATTTGAGTTCTTGCATTGCCTTATCTACCGATGATTCGGCCACATGGGTAGCCACGTCCTCTCCTATTCGCGCCATCTAACATGTAGAGTAAATTACAAAAAGGGACTACCGACTACACTACTATGTATGTTTCAACTACACCTACCATGTTCTAGGATTTCAATAACATAGACACACAAAAAATATTTTATTATTAGTGATGCGTGGTTTGTTTTATAATATGATGGGTTGTCTTTTAATTTCTTAGGGTAGTGTTTTCTTGTTCATTTTTTCCCTTTTCTCTCTGTTTTTTTTATATTTCTTTTGTTTGTATGACTTCCCCAGCTGGAATTTCATAACTAGAGGAAAAATTGCATGTAATTTTTAAATAAGACACTTACTTACAAGTTTGGTGAATTTGTTAAAATATTGTCAAATTCTTTGAGACTGATATGTTATAATTAATTTCATTAGTAAAATTTCATATCTTCCTTTTACTTTTGACCAAGTTGATTTGCGTTTACTCACCACCAACAACTATTGACCATTTAAAAAATATTTTTTAGAAATATTTTGTTGAAATATTAAATTTATTATTTACATATCAAACATTGTAGATTTATAACTAAATCTGAACTTCTAAAATTTCGAAGTAAATCTGAGAAAAAAAATAATACTTTAATGTTTATATGTCAATATCTTATACTTACTAGTTAAACTTGTAAGTTTACAAGTGAATTTGTCTGATTCTTGTATTAGTTTTTCAAAATTTAGAAATCAAGTTACAAATCACCAACTTATTAAATTTAAAAGTCATCTTTTTCAATTTATAAGACAAAACTCAAAATCTATAACTTAATAAGGTAAAGAATGCTTAGGTCTTGTAAGTTTAGGGAAATGATATGTAAAATTTAAGAAATTGAGTTATAAATCTATTTATAAAATTTGAAGAACCAATACAATAATAATGTAAATTAACTTTTAAACATGTAAAGTTGACATGTAAATCTGAGAAATCGAATTCTAAATATTAAAGTATTAATTTTTGTTAGAGATTTACCTGTAAATGAAGCATTTTGACTAGTAAAAGTAATAGTATTTTAAAAAAGTTGACTTTTAAATGTAAGAAGTTTGGTTAGTAAATCTTAAAGATTGATTTATAAATCTCAAACATACCACCTTTGATTTTAAAATAAGAGTTAATTGAGTAATTTGAGTAAATTAGAAAAATTAGTTAAAATGGTAGTATGTTTGAATTGTAAATGTTAAAATGTTCATAGGTTAATGAAAATATTTTTATAAAAAATAATTGTTGACTATGCTTGGTCAGGGCTTGTCACTGTGAGGCAACGGCTGGGGGTTTGAAAGTATTTATTTCATTTTATTTTGCTTTAAAGTATGGAATTAACATATCATAACTCAAAGTAAATAATTTTTCACGTGTTTCAGAACTATTCAAATTTGATTTTCTATCCAATTGTTTTCACTGGGTTTTTCTTTTCTTGCCATCTTATCACTAGCTGCAACCCATCATTATGATGCTGGTAAAAAAAAAAAAAACATCATTATGATGAGATTACATCATCCTAATTAGATTTATATGGTTTAAATTTAATTTTTTTTAAAAAATTTTAATTTTTAATTTTTAAATTTTTTATTTCGAATTGGCTCGACCCCCCATGCTTAACACCAACTATGCTTTTCTAAGTGAGAAAAGTAAACGATTATAATTAATGTTAATAAATTTTTATTTGGAGATAATCACATTCAAAGCACTAAATATGAAAAGCATAGAGAGATGTAATATTATGAAGAATATAACCAAGACTAACTTATATTTTTAATCATTTAATTTTATATAAGATTTTAATTTAATTATCTTAACTTTGAAAAGTATGTTTTAGTCCTTTAATCCTAAAATGGTTAACCAAAAAATAATGATATTAAAATTTCAAATGTTGATAAAACATAATCAAATAATAATACTAGTTTCGATCCTAATTATAAGATCTCATTTTTCATTCAATCTAAATAAAACATCAATATTTAAAAATAAAACAGATATGGTTATGTTGATAAATTTTTTTTCAATTGTGACTTTTACAGATTTACTTAAACAACTGATTAAAAAAAAGCCTAAAAGCATTTAAGGCCTAGTTTGCTTTAATATTTTGAAAACAAAAATTTGTTGGAAAAAAAAATTGCTTGGCAATTGTTTTAGTTGGTTATTTAAAAAAAAAACAGTAATGTGTTTTTAAAAACTAAAAGACTAAAACAATGTTTAGATTTTTTTTGTTTTGTATTTTTATCCTTCGTTTTGAAAAATTAGAAAAACCTTCTTCTCTTCTTATCCATTGCCAAATGTGATTTTTTAACATATTTTTGGTTTCAAATATTATTTTCTTAAAATAATTATCTAACATATTTTTTTATTATTTTCAAAACTTGTTTTAAAAATCAATTTTATAAAATTATGCGTCCGCATTCAGTGCTCATCACCTGATAAGCAATCTGAGCTGTCCAGATTTAATATTCTTAAATAATTATTTAAAAATAAAAAAATATATTTTAAAAGAATAATAGTTAAAAGATTATCTTTATTTTTTATCCTATACCTATTAAAATAATTATTTTAAAAAAATAAAATTACAATTAAAATTAAATCTAGATCGTCCATATCAAATCTGGATGGTCCAGATCTGATGAGTATTGGGTGCTCATCAAAACTGATGAGCACCCAATACAAATCCCACAAATTAACAAGAAACTTTCTCAATAGAGGAAGCTAAACTACATCAATATCAACATTCACATGAGATACAGAAAATATAAAGAGTCGCATTCTTCATAAATGGTTAAAAAAAAGCACAGCTAATTTTGCACTCCATGTAAAAATACACAAGTCACACTAATTTATAATTTAAGAAGGCTGTAAGAATTTCTTTGAATAAATGAAATTTACCATTGAAAGTATGGATACATAAACTAACCTGGAAGCAGGAATTGAAGTCTTGTGGTATGCTTCGACTGACCAACGAGCAAGATCTGAAAAATATAAATATGTAGAAAGTTCAAGAGACTATATAAATATATATATATATATATATATATATATCAGAAGATGCAAACTTAATTCAGAAATATCATGGAGCACATATCTTACCTTTCACATATTTCTATGCGCTTAAGCTGCAATAATGCCTTTGATATAAAACCTGTTTTTTTTTTTTTTTTGCTTTGCCTTTCTTGGTTTTTTTTCTTCTTTTAAGGAAAGGAACTATGAGAACAACAATGGAGAGAAAAATCAAATGAGAAATTTGAGTATAAAGAGAAAAACGTACAAAGTACTAGGAAGAAAAAAGATTTGAAAACAAATTTTCTTTTGGTTTTCTCTGAACAAGAAGGAGATCGAAGAACGATGATAACAACAACCAACAAAGATGAGAGTAGCAACAATAATTCAATAGAGAGGCAATTTTTTTTTTATTTGGTTTTTAAAAAAAGAAGAAAACAACAAAAACTCTTTTAACAGACAAAGAAATGAGAATTCAAAGGAAGAATATATGGTACGGAGACACAGGAAGAAAATAGAAGGCACAAACTGGTTTTGAAGAAGAAGAAGAATTTTTCTTTTCTTTTCTTTTCTTTGTTTTTTTTTTTTTTTTGGTTGTTGTTTTGAATCAAAAGAACAACAAAACAACGCTATGAATTAACACACAGAAAAATGAAAGGGGGAAAAAACCAGCGATTGCTGGGCTAGAAGGGCAGTGAGAAAGAAAACAATGAACGAAGAGAAAATTTAAAAAAATTAAGATGGGAAGCACAAGAATGATTCAGAGACGAATAAAACACACAAGGATCGGCTTTGCAATAGCGGCGATTGTAGTGATCGGAAAAGAGTTTGGTTGTCTTTGAAATTTAAGTTGTGGCAAAAAGCTAAAACTATAACTCTTCAACTTCGTAATGTATATATATTTGCCTGTAGATCAGTTAATGGAATCCATGGATAACTTAACATAAGGTTTAATAATAGATGCTACACTTTTCAAAAACTGAAGAAAGGTATATATATCATACTTCTACCACACCATTTTACTTTCTCTGCAGAATAACTTTATGCATTTACCTTTGTTTTCATACACATGAAAATACAGCTATTGTAAATACATAAAGCCCACTTTAATGCCTAATTGCATTAAGATATGGATAGTTTAATGAATAAATTAGAATTACGATAAACAAAGAAATAGATGCACGCTAACTCGGAAGTAGGTCATTGCATCGAGTAAGCTTCACGTAACCTTTGATACGAAAGCCTCCTTTCGTTTTTTTTTTTTTCTTTCCTTTTGTTTTTAAGAAGAGGACAATTAGTTGATATAATTTAAATATTCTGAAGCTAAGAGTTTTTTTATAATAAAAATATAATAAATAGGACATTAATAAAAAGAGATGGAATCCTGCACTTCTATTCCTCACACTACTTTTTCTCTCTTAAAAAACATTTTTAAAATCTAAATTTCAGAAATTAAACTACAAGTATATCTTTTTCCCTCACTTAAATGCTTTATATAATTCTCACCAAAAAGAGGATTTAACTTTCAATCTTTGAGATAAAAAAATCTATTTACATTAAACAAAAATGCTCTGTCTTATCTTCCGAATTAAAACATTTGAATGCGGGATTGGGATTATTATTTGCTTTCTGCACCATAATTCACTTTGTCATATGTGCTTTTCTATGACTTCATGAAAGGAGATGGTTTCAAAATTCACTCTATAACCTTTGTTTAATAATTGTGGAACTGAGTTTATGCAAGGCAATTAAATTTGTATATATATACACACATATATATATATATGAAACATTTTTGGAAACAATATTAACATATTCTGAAATAATATTCCATCAAATGTTTTGCGAAGAATGTGTTTCGAAATAATTTGCACAGGCATAAAATAAAAGGAAAATTAGAGGGAAAGACCTGCAGAAAATAAGATTTATTGAGAAAGATCTCAAAAATGATAAATATTTAAAAGCATTAAGATATCAAAATATAAATATATTATAATATTATATCTGATTTTTTATATAAGAG